CTTTGTTCGCAGAGTTTTAAAGGCTTTGAAATAAACAGCTTCTGGCAGGGAGACATGCTGTATGAAAAGAATCACTGGACTTAATTCATTTTCCGCTGCTACTTCAGTAGCAGCCTTTTGAAAAGATTTTCCAGACAACACAACACGCTATATAACCTGTGATGCTCTGCCACTCTCTCTGGTTTCTTATAGCGCTTTCCTGTCTATGAGCGCGCTGGAAACACAGGCTGAGACTGATGTTTAAAGGCACATCAAAACCACTGCACAGACTTTTCATCTCATCTCACAACACAATTGTTCCTCAAAGTTTTTTACATCAAAGAATTGCAGAGCAGTCGCTCTTTGCTGAATTCTTTCTTTCCTGAGGGGGTGAAAGGAGCTAAATAAATGTAGTTTTTGCAGATGGGTTTCTTCAGGGATTAAGAATAATGAAAGAAATTTGAAAAAGGGGCATCATATGTGGACATTACCTAAACAATTCAACTTAATTATGATCTGTACACTGTACACCACTTGTTTTAATTTAAACTTTCATTTGTATTATTCAGGTTAAGAGTAACCACAGAGAAATCGGAATGTAATCTATGCCTTAACAGCAAAAATGCATTTTTGGCAAAATAACACATTGTTTTATTTTAGAGCAAACTAGCCAGTGAAGTCCACAGAGTTTAACTGAGCTTGAGATGTGATGGAGTTATCAATCACACTTGACATAAAGACACTTGAATGTCAATATGTCATTGATCTCCCGGGCCCTCAGACATGCCTTGCAGCATGGACTGAATCTCCTCCATTAGAAACACAGACTGGCAGCAGAGCAAGGCAAAATAACTCATTCTACAGGATTAAACTGTTGGCTTCTTCCCTTTTTCCAGCGTGTAAATTCTAAGGCTCTGTTCAGACCTGTGGTTAACATGTCTCAGGTTATTGGATCACAGAGGACAGCTCTAACTACAGGTGTGAACGCAACCAGGATGCATTGAGGACTCATTTTAGAGTGCATGCACAAATAATTTACCTATGGGTTAATTTGCATATAGAACAAGAAAGTGAGATCCAATCAAAAGTGCTCACTAAATACATTCTAAAAGTGTCCAAAATTTGACTGACAAAGACAAAAACATCCAAACAGACACAGATTGATATCTATTAAAAACTCTTCCTCACACTGATGCAATGACAAACTGAAACTCTGCGGCAGACTTTGGCAACAGTACCATTTCATCAAACACCCAGGAAAGGGGAATAAAAATATTCCCTTGCCTGTCATTGCAATGCACAGCCACCAGCTGCTGTCCTGTCCACCGTGTGGACATGGCTGGATGTCAGCAGGCTTAGCCAACACTGCGCCTTGCATATGAAGCAGGACATGGGCCTATATCCCCTTGGGGAGTTTACTTCCTCTGAGCCCCCACCGCCACAACTGCCCCACCTCCCTCTTGAAACAAGCGGCCCCTTCTGCTGGAGGCCAGATATCCTGAGCAGCCGTGAGGGCGTCTTGGGGTGGGGGTGGTTATGAAACTAACGGAGGGAAGTTTGAGCACATGCACACCCAAATATTTGAGTGCAATGTTTTATAATAATAAAAAATATCAAGGGCAGTTCTGTGCTATGCAACTAGCCAGCTTCTCCTACAATGAGCCATAGGATAACAATGTACAGGAATGTGCTGGCAGTCCACACTGTATACTAGCATATTTGGTGCACAAACACAAAATGGGTGCTTTGTTGTTCTCAATGAATTCTTCATACACATGAATCTCAACAAATCACTCTCCACCACCGCAGAACCAAAATTACTCACTGGAGGAAATCTTCACTTCCTTTTCAGCTGTAAGCAATGGACTCACTGGTGACTGAAGGAATATTCATGGATGGGGACATGTTTCACTCAAGCCCAGTCAAAAGGGTTTCCATGAACAGTAACTGTTGTGTTAGACATCTTCACGTAGCTAAAGATGTGGCAGAAGAAGTTTGAAATATAAGAGACTGAAAAACATCTTGTGTCCGATCCAATGACATCAACTAAAAAAACTGCATTATTTCTCAAAGTGATATAATTGGTGAAAACATATGAGACCTAGGGACTATCGCCACTTAAGAAGGAGCTTACTAAATTAAAGTCTGACGTAAACTTGCTGGTTTTGAACAGCGCATGAGTCAAGCTCGAGTTGGCTTAAAGACAAAACGACCCCCCTCCCCCTCAATTCTCTTTCTCATATCTGCCTTACACAGACGGATTGTGAAGAAATCACATCATCTTGAGGGCAAATTATAAAGTTAGCAACATACTAAATCTGCAGCAGCAATCCTTATCTAAACATCCTGATGCGGAAAGCCACTGATTATGTGTGCCACCCACATGTGTACCAGCCAGAAACCAAAAGACTTGCGGCTGGGGGGCTGGCACGAGCAATCCGGAGAAGTGTTCCACACTCAGCTTATAAATGTATTTAAACAATTCAATAGTGCTCCGGCTCACATCCTCTCAGATAAGAACAGAGAATGAGCTCATGCTTCTTGTGCAAATACAGGCAGGGAGCAAAAAGTGAAAAGCTGTTTTTGCTCAAACAGCCCGTGAGTCAGATGTGTGTCTGTGTGCGTCTCGTGGGGGGGGGGAGCTCTCAGATGAGCGTCTGCGAGGAGGGAAGTGCGGCAATATCACTTCCTGTGTCTGTCTGCATGCGAGACTGCTGCTAACACTTTTGTTACAACCTTATTAATATTCACAGAGCCACCCAGTTCCTGGCATGACAGCACGCAGATGATGGCATTTTCTTGTGTGCTAAAAGGTAGAAGGCGGCGCAACGCAGTCTAGCACTTTGCCTAACATCCTCCATGAAGACTTTCAAAGTGCCTGGGCTGTGCTGAAATGTGCTGACAACAGGGAGCTCTGTTGGTGTAAGTTAAGCATTTTTCCTCAACTCCTACCCAGCATGTATTCCTTCATTAGTGTTTCTTGAAACAGGGTAGTTGAGGAAAGAAAAGGAGGAGTCGAATTAAAAAGCAGGGTAGAGGCTCAGAATGAGCCTTGAGCTTAACACTTGAGTGCCCCATCGGCACTTACAAAAATAGAGAAGGCCCCTGAAAGTGGGGGTCCTTGAGGTGTGCCCACTCGAGTCTGAATGAAAGTGTGTGCCAAGAGTGGGTATTCACCATGCATGGCAGGACTTTGGCACTCTTCGGGACTTCAAGGGTCTCCCTCTGAATTCTCTTTCTTTGGCAGATTCCCCTGAAAGAAGCCGCAGCAGGGACTTGGGGGGGAGGGCTTCTTGTAAACACTTTTGCAGTTACTTTCTGTGCCTCATCAACAAATCTGCTTCCCCCCATAAGTCCACTCCGGTTTCAGTCAGGTTGGAGTAAAGATGGAGTTAAGGGGGGGGGGGGAATCAGTGTGAGTGGGTGTGTGTCAGAGGTGGGTGGCTGGCCTGAGTTAGGTGGATGTTTTGGGGGGTGGGGGTGGGGGGCTCCCGATGTTTGCTGAATGCTCCCCTTTGTTGGGATCATATTATGTTTCCACCACAATACTTCTAAACCCTGCTTCATCAACTCCATTCATGTGTAACAGTTCATGCAAATGGCCACACTAGCCTTTTTTTCCCCAAAAGGTGGGGTGGGGGGTGGGATTCTTTTTATCAGTCTACCACCCAACTACCCTCTCTTCAAACTCCTGTCTGCACACTGAAGAACAGATATAATCTCTTCATACATCTTTACAGCCCGAGAAGCAGAGCTGAGCAAAGCACTGAGAATCCGATTAAAATGTCCGAGGCCAGAGTCTGCGTGGACGCTCGGATTCTGATTATTCAAACATTTAATAAAAGAGAATCACGAAAAAAATAAGAAAAGACTTCGACACTGATGGCAGCACTTATCAAACCAATCAAAAGCCAAACAATTGTTACAAACACTTACTGTGGCACAAAAGGCTCCCGACATACACACAGACATTGGCAATTTTTCACATGATAACAATAATCTCACTGCTGACCAAGTGTATCTCCTGGGAACACACAGACTGATAGAACAGCCAGAATTGTAGACTGAGCAAGATATAGCCTCGGTCCCAAGAATAGAGAGAGAGAGAGAGAGAGCAAGAGCATCTGTGTGTGAGTCAGAGAGAGAGAGAGAGAAGGGGAATGGAAAAACTGAAAATTCTTTAAATCTGAAGAAAGGAAGAAAAGGTGTTTCCTTGTTGACATCAGAGCTGATGTTTGAGCTACACACTTCTCCTGGATGATGTTTACTGTTTCCCATTGAGCCATTTGTTGATAAATGAGACTGTATTTACAGTACAGGCCAATAAAAGCCTGAGAGGTGTTTCACAGGCAAATAATTGTTTTATTGCCACCAGAGGCGTTTTGTTGTCACTGCTGGATGAGGCCTAATTAGTGACAATATGTCAATGATGACCAAATACTAAGTGGTCTCTCTACAGGAAGGGGTCAATGACCCCCTGATAGCCGCGCATGACATACAGTATGAGACATCCATGTGGCGCGTCCCAGATACATTTTTGAAATATGCAGGTAACATATTTGTATTATTCAATCTGTTGAGGGGCCACAGGGAAGCCTCCCAAAAACAACAAGGATTCAAGGACCACAAGCTGAACTATGAAATCCATTTCTTTAGCACACCCTCTAGATGTGAACATGTCTTGTGGCATGCAGAGAAGTTTTGGCAAGTTAAATTTTAAGGGCCATAAGTTTGCATCTAGGGGGCCACACTACATGATCAAGCTGCTGGCTACTAATGTAGTGCTTTTGAAGGTTTGGATAATGTAACTGTATTTTAAAGGCAATATGAAGAATGCTCTGTGCTGTTAGAGGGAGGACTACATGTGTGCATGTAGCTTCTGTCCCGCTGCAACAACAGTAAAGAGTATTTTTAAAAAAATAAACTGGGTCCTGACAACAGGGGAAATCAAACCAAACCCAAAAAGTAGAGGGGCTGCACAGGAAGGAAACAGCTCCCATGGTGAGGGGGCAGCAACTCACCCTGGATGATGCTTTCCTCTTGTACTTGTTGGCGAAGTCAAATTTCTCCTTGATCTCGTCCAGGAGCTGCTCCAGACGGGCCTTCTCCTCTTTCCCCGTGTAATCCTGGCCCAGGAGGATGTACGCCCTCCAGTTTGCCGAGTCGAAGCCCCAGTGGCAAGTCCTGTTCTCCTGCGCCTTGTGACTGTGCACCACGAACTTGTGGGTCGGGTACATAAGTCTGCAGTCCATGCACTGGATGCACGCTGCGTTGGGGCTGCTGTACAGCTCCGGCACGAACAAGCCCTTGCACTTGCCGAAGCACTCGTGGTAGACTTTGAAGCTCCTCTCGGTGAGCTCCAGCTCCAGCGAGCCGCCGCTCAGCTCCTTCTTGCAGCGCGGCGGGTAGGCGCCTCCGTAGATCAGGGCGTTGCAGAGCCGCTCGGAGTCCGTCTTGGTGATGAGGCCGCAGGACGGCGCCGAGAAGGGCAGGATCCCCATGACTTTCAGGATCTCCAGCTGGTCCGCCGTGCACCGGGAGCAGTAGATGTGCAGCTCGTCGCACACCGAGTTGATCTGCTGCAGGCTGAAGTCCCGCAGCACCGTGTTGAGGATCTGCGGCAGGCACAGGCGCTTCTCCCCGCCGACCACGAAGCACGAGATGGTCTCGGCTTCCAGCACCGTCTCGCACCTCTCCGTGGAGCGGTCCGACGGGATGAACAGCGGACCGGGCATCACCGGCGGCGGCAGATGCTGCAGAACCGGCTCGGGCTCCTTACCGTCCTTCTTGAAGAGGAGCTCATGTTGCCACCGGGCAGAGAAAGCCGCCGGTCCGCCCAGAGAGCTCATAGAGCTGAGGTGAAACTGCTTGAGAGTTTGTTGCAGTCCCGGATGAGGCTGGAAGCTCTGCCGACTTACTGTCTCCATGTTTTTCCTGCAACTTTAGAAGCGCAAATACTTCTCGCCGTCGACCGGGAATCACGAGTATCAATCCGTTCCCGAGCCTGGTAAATCCACTGAGTCCCGGAATTGACCAAAATGTCGAAGCGCTTCATCAAACATCCAGTAAAAAAAAAAAAAAGTCCCACACGGCGAGTCGGCTGTTTAATTCCTGCGGCTACTGAGTGAACACCGGCCGGTCGCTCCCTGCAGCGGCTCGCCGACTGTCCATATCCGACGAACACGGCTCTCCAAACTCCAGAGAAGAGAAAAAGTTCCGAGGGGTCGAGGTCCGGGACGAGGCGGCCGGAGACGAGACGACAGCGGCGGCTGTGGGTCGATGAGAACAATCCTTGTTTGAGGTGGCGTCCGCTGTCGAGGAGCAGAAAGCCGCTCCGTCTGCCCCGCAGTTCACTGTGACTGAGAGACGAGAGGTCTGAGAGCCAGCCTCTCTCTCTCTCTCTCTCTCTCTGCCTGTCTAGGTCTCTCTCTCCCTCTCTGCCTGTCTATGTCTCTCTCGCTCTCTCGCTCTCTCTCTCTGCCTGCCTATGTCTCTCTCGCTCTCTCCCTCCCTCCCTCCCTCGCTGTGTGTTTGTGTGTCTGGTTCAGTCATTGAATCGCAGCCAGGAATGTGAGTGACTCTGCAGGCAGCAGGCTGAGCTCCTCCAGGAACACGCCTGCAGAAGAAGAAGAATATATATATATATACATCAAATCTCTTACAGCAGTTGGCTCATTGGTTTGTCAGTTAATAAAAAAAAAACAATTATTATTATTATTATTGTATAACTATTTCTTCTATCATTAATAACGTCATTACACATCTCTCTCTATTTTCCCCCCCCCCCCCCATCTCTCCTCTCCCTCCCCCCATCTCTCCTCTCACTCCTACCGGTCGAAGCAGATGTCCGCCCACCTTGAGTCTGGTTCCGGTTCATGTTGTTGGTGTTAATGTTTGCGTGTTGTGGGAACTGTTGGGTTTGGGTTGGGTGTCTCTCTAATATTTTTAAGGATTTACTAATACTACTAAGTGCCTTAAGATGATGTATGCTATGATTTCACACTATACTGTACAAATAATCATTTCATTTAAAGAAAAACCCAGGCGTGTGTGTGTGTGTGTGTGTGTGTGAGAGAGAGAGAGACAGGATGGGTGGTGACAAAATTAGCTTGGGAAGGGGAAATACAAATTGCACTGACTGCGTTTTTTTTTAATTTTCTCTTCTGCTTGAATGTGTCAAAACTGTTTGGCAAGTAGCAAAGAATAAACAGGCTTCATGTGCTGGCGACCTTGGGAGACAATCCTGCTAATGAAATGATGAGACATAAGAAAGCGTTTGTAGGTGGTAAAATCACCACCACGCTCAAAAAGAAATCAATCAAGATATTTAGATTCCTCTGTTCATCTATTGATTTTACCTTGAACCATATACATTGAAATCTCTGCAAAGGCCCTTTTTGTAGAATATGTTTCCATGTTTGTTCAAAGAAATGAAAAGATTCCTACATCCAGTTACCACTGTGGTATCTGTGCAAGAATGAATTGGTTTGGGGGTGTAACAGCCTATTGGTTCTGAAATATCTGCACAATTGTTTCTAATGTTGTCGTACGTTCAGGGGAAACACTGTGACACCTTACTTCAGGGAGTGAAGAGGTAACCTGAAGAAATAATCCACCGGGGGCTTCCACATCAAGGGGGTTGTGTGTCCACAGCATGTTCAACTCCAGCAGCGATGAAGCACTTTGCTGTTCCTGTGGCGTCCCCTAGCCACACAGAGCTGTAACTGCATCATGATGGCAGAGGGGGGGATGTGAAGGATCTGGAAGAATGTTTCAGTGCAGGCAAGCAGAGTTGGGGGGGTACAATTAAAGAAGGATGCAATTATATATCTAGTTTTATCTATCATCTATCTCTAGTTGAGACCATGGAGGGCAATGGCTCCAAACCTGGAAAAGAGACAGTAAAGTGTGAGTGAATATTATTCACCCTGTCTGTTAAAGGGAGCTTCTATGTTTGATCACTGGGTATATTGAGTTTTACCAACTTTTAACCACAGCACAGAGCAGGAGCACTCGGAGGCATATAGACCCCCTCAGAGTTTACCAGTACTTGGTGGTTTGAGAATGGTGATAACAGCAATATATTCCTATAATTCTCATACATTGAGCAAACACAGTGAGGTGGTAAATCACACATTTGATCAACCTCAGATTTGTAAAAGGTTCTACTCTTTATCGTGTGTCTGTCAAGGAGTTTAAAATAATAACATAGATTAAAGAAATAATACTGTTGCTGTTGGCTGATATGAAGATTGATAATTTCTGGTCTCATCGCCAAATTCATTTGCTCTACCATGGCTTTGTCTCCAGCAGACAGAGGGCTGTAGGGCGTTCTCTGTCAGGGCTCCACAACAACCTCCCTCTATCGATCAGACAGGCCATCTCAGTATCCTCTTTCAAAACTCTTTAAAAAAACTGGACTTGTGTTTGTTTTACTCAACATTACAAATATTATGAAATAATGTTATTATCTATTTTTGTATTACTTTTAACTACACATTTGTGTGTCATTGCTTTATTTGACCTATTGTCGTATCATCATTATTACTGATTCTGAGGGTTTTCTGTCTCCTCACAGTATAATCAATTCAAACTTCAATTGTATTCGCAATTACACCATACATTATCTCATGTCCCTTCACATAGTAAAGTCGAGACTTGCTTTCATGTTTTTACTGTGTTTTTATCTTCACTGCTTATGTGACACAGCTCTATATTTATTCATTTCATTTGAGCACTCCCTTGTTTCAGACCACCTAAACATGCTTGTTGGCCTCCTTGTCACATTGCATCCTGTGGATTATTGTTTCTCTTATATTGAATTTTCTTGCTTTCCTGTCAAAGCACTTTGTAAAATGGAATATAGGTAAAGTTTATGATTATCTGTCTTGTATTTTTCTGACTATTCTGTTGCCATACCCACGCTTTCAGTGTCTAGCTATCATGTGCTGGGCCTTTGAGTTACCCATAAGATAAGATAAGATAAGATACGATAATCCTTTATTAGTCCCACCATGGGTACATTTGCAATATGCCAGCAGCTACAGTCAAAAATAGGAATCTATGGGCAGCACTTTTTCTATAAGGGGCAATTTGGGGTTCAGTATCTTGCCAAAGGAGGCTTCAGCATGCAGATGAGGAAGACTGGGATGGCCGACCTTCTGGTTAGAGGACGACCGCTCTACTCCCTCAGCAACAGCCACCCACTGGCCCACTGTTGCATTATGTCTGAAGGTTTTAGGACGGTATGATGAAGTTTGTGACAGTGTGTTTTAGTCATTATGAATGTTCTCCACTGATTTTCACTTTTGATTCTTGGAACATTTGGTGTGAATTAGAGAGTAATGAGTAGAATGAGTGGCGTTCTGCGAGTGCATGAATGAAAAATGATGCTTAAATAAGTGCAAACCTCAAATTTAGATTTTTAGATTTACATTAAAAAAAACACTCAAAGCCATTAATCAATTATCAGAATAGCTGCCTATTGATTTAGTGGTCGAATACTGATCAGTCTACTGGTTAATAGTTGCAGCTTCATTCCTGTAGGTTACAGTCAAGCTGTTTTTAGGCAAGTCCTGCAAAGGAACTGCTGAGAATTGAGTCCAGACTTTCTCTGCAGGAGATTATCTGCACAGACGCATTTGCAACAGCAACAAATTCTCCAGAGGATTCAGGTAAGGGGTAGTGCAGCAGACAGAGTGATGTTGGAAAATATTTATTCTGCTGCAGAGATCACGATAGAGATACTTGTTTTCTTTTCTTTTTTTCATTTTCATCAACGCACGTCATCAACACACCCACTCGCTTGCAGTGAGTCCTGCAGAGGCTCTCCTGCTGTGTTCTCACACCGGCTCTTTCGAACATTCAGCAGACTTTTTGCCCAGGGACTGGCCAGAGGAAGTCTGCAGAAACTCCAGAGGCTCTCACTTGTACATTTTGAGTTCACAGATACAACCCCTCCAGAGAATATCCGGAGGATCTCCAGAGTTCAGTGCATTTCTGAAAGCAGCTATTATGTCAGACACAGTGTTAACTGTTATTAAGAAACACACATAACTCTTTTTCAGTGTGTGTTTTTTAAAGAAGACACAACATGTTAATTAATGAACTTTAGAGGTGTTGGTAGACATGCTTTTGAGATATCTGCTCCCCCCTGCTTGTAGTCTTTATGCTAATCTAGGTACATCAGATCTGGATTCAAATCCAGCGTCTGCACAATATATTACATGCAGTGCTTTAGTGAGCCACCAAGCAGTGGCATGCAGTCAGTGGATAGTGATGGTTCCAGTGCTTGAGCCACAGGACTGGGCTTTGTCCCATCTAGCTGGCAGCTAACTAACCTTTCCGGAGGGGGACCAGAGCCTCCACGGGGCCTATCAGTCTGGCACGAAGCCGTCCTCTCTGCCAGCACTGAGCTCTGACAGCTACAGGCAGGATGTGGGCCTACAGTACTATACTGGCATACTGTATCACTGTCTGAGTGTGTACGTCAAGTGGTAGTGGATACAAGTGAGATGCAAAGCTTGTGCATCCTCCAGGCTTTTCATCCTATCAAGGCCAAAGCTGCTAGACAGTATGTGCCATATCCCAAGCCACATTTTCAATGATTCATATTTTCCCTCATGAGATTGTCTGTGCTCTTCACTTCCCTGTGTTCTTTTTATTTGTTGCCATTCACTCTGTTGGAGCTTTTTAATTCTTCCCTCATATCTGATGATAACCTCTATTACAGCCCAAAGTGTTTTTCTGGAGAGCTGCAGCGTCTGGTGCACAATAGACACTATCTCCTGCTCACTGTGATTATGCAGACCCCCCCTGGATGCTGGGCCTTCCCTCATCCTAGCAAACATTGCATTGCATAATGTTTGTTGCAAAGTGACGTGATCATTGCATGGCAGTGCAGCTGCAAGTGCAAAACTATTTTGAAAACTCCTCCCTCTTGCTGTGTTCAAGAAAGCTCTGGCATCCAGGATTTCACAGCCAGGACAACAAATCAAGAGTTTCTGCTCCAGTCCATTTTTACACTGGACCAGTCAGTACATAAAGTAGACACAGGTTTTAGATGAAATATTCTGCTTTGGTAAATCACCAAAAATTCTCAGACACCTCTGGGAAATTACATTTCCCAATATGGTGGTTTCAGACTGCATTAGAGTCACCATCAAATTTTCAATGACATTAAGTATCCCAGTGATCTCTTGCCAAACCCTTGGAACAAACCTCTTTATTACAGCAGCATGATTGGCTCGTTAGAGGTTCTGAGGATGGGTGGTCACATGTGTTGGCAGAAATTAAATATAAATTAATCCTAGCAATGTTCTCACTAGTGTGTCTCACCTAAAATTGTACAAATTGTTGTTTCTTTACCCTTTGCCCATTTCTATTTAGGAGGGGGTCGTTTCTACGGAGGCCGCCATGCTTTTTGCAGTCGTCCCGACTGGACAAACTAAAACCTTTAACACTACACACTGAACCTTTAAGCAAGAAAGAAAAGGACATGAAGTCAGAGTTTTTGGAGAACCCAGGCTGTGTTTTACATCTAACTCTAAGCGAACAGTCACACATTTGCAAATATTTCAGATGCGAACCTTTGCCTTCCGTTAATTTCCAATCAGCACGTATGAGTGAGGGGTAAGAAAACATTCCTTCCTGTGGATACGCCAATCACAGTGTGGCTTTAAGTGGAGTTTAACTTTGACCCAAAATATACACTTAGCATTAGCATTTGTGTGACCAAACTCTGCTACAACAATTACAGTGTAAAGACTGCATATCATCCATATAACCCAACCAGGTGCAGATCAGAGGGATCAGATCAGATCACATCCCGAGGTTGCACTGAGATGGGCCTGGTGTGTCAACATGTTGTCACTGAGAAAGAGCATCAAGTGAGTAAATACGTAACTGGAAGGAGTGGGAGAACTACAAAGTTTTCAATAAGTCATTTCTTCTTCGTAAAGGTCAGTTTTCTAACTGGCTACAATCTATCTGAATGGGTTTATGTTCTCAACTATCCATGGAGAAATGAACTGTTGTTGTTTGCTTCTCTTTAACTTAAATGGTTAAGGCTGCTGCCACCTCACTTTTATTCTCCTCCTCATCATCTTCACCATTGCCATGGCAGCGCAGCACAACACAGCATCACGTGGGATGGATGACATAATGTTTCTTTCCAGGCGCCGGGTTGCTTTTTTCCCAGAGTAGCACTATGTACCACAGGCCTGGCCCACTGCTCTGCCTTTGTGTTTCTTCTCATCTGTGGTTGAGGTAGGACAAACTGATTGGCCAATGTCAGCAACTCAGCGGCAGTCCTTCTGGAATACTCATCCAACGGGTTACTGTTTCCAAAAGAAGAAAAAAAAACCTCTCACCTTATTTCGAAGTGGCAGGTTTTCCCATAGTGCTGTTTTCCATTCTTTTAAATAATGCTTTCCTCTTTGCCTTCTTTTCTTTTCCTTCCGCTCAGTCCAGCTTTCCCTTGTCTTTTTCCATTGCATAATTGTAGCCACTCTCCGTTGGTCCCTCTCTTCTGGCCAAAAGCTTAAAAGGCTCAGAAAGTCCCACCATTATTATGACTTCAACTTTCCACTGTATGTGTGTCCTAGCAAAGGGAACAAAGTATTATCGTTGCAGTATTTTTGTATGACGTAAGCTTCAGGTTGCACCAAGTACACACGTCCTTATGCAAGAGTGACATAATATTAAAGTGAGTGTTGATGATTAGATGATACAAGCAAACAGTGCACTAAAAAAAGCTTTTTCCCATGCTGTTTCATTTGGAGAGAATCGAACACTGATGAACTCCATCATCTGTCCATTTTCTTTCCAGAACTATTATTCACTTATGTTCTTTCCTTTCACTGATTTTCTTTGATGACTTCACTTGTTTTACATGTTTTTAACATGCTTTTTTTCTTCTTGCCTTGATTACTGTAAAGTTTTCTCTGGAGCTTCTGCAGCCAGTTCCCTGCTATAAAGTCTGCAGAAAGTCCAGAGGAGCCAATGAGACAACACAGCAGAGGAACCTCCACAGGATTCCCAGTGAGTGAGTGGGTGTGCTCATGAAACTTCTAACACGCAACAGACACAAAAAAACAAACACAAAGAGCATTTTTGGTGATAAGGGCCGACGTCAGTGTCAATGTGCTGTAAAATCTCAGCAGCAGAATCATTACGCTACATTCTGCCTTTGTTCATGTGTGAAACTCTGCGGAGAGTCTGGATCCAATTCTCCAGAGATCCTCCAGAAGTCATGTCTGAAAACGGCTTAATACACTTCATTCAGTGATCAGCTGCTTCTCCCTCCACCGTCTCCAGCTGATAAAAAATGCTGCAGCCCGGTTTTTGACAGGAACGAAAATGCAGGATGGCCCCTGTGCTTGCCTCCCTATACATTCTGCATGCTAGATTTCCTATTGATTAAACATTCCATTGCTCACATTTAAGGTCATAAATGGCCTTGCTCTAAAATACCTGATAGATGTATCGACCTTGTATCTTCTGACCACTGAGAGCTGCAGGTACAGAGCCCTGCTTTTTACTCCCAGGTCACAGCTTGTGTCTGAAGTTCAACAGGCCTTTGCTACTGAAGCATCCACACTATGAAACTGTAGCTTCTTTAAAATCCTGTCACTTTTTTATGAAAGCTTTTAGAAATTGGCTTCACCTTTCATATATACAGACTAATCCTATTATTTTGAACTTAGCATTTATATTGTTTCCATTATTGTCATCTGGTTTCATTTCCTTTTTTGTGAAGCATTTTGTTACGATAACTGCTATATAAATAAAGTTCATTATAATGGCGTGGGTACTCAATGTTCAGTGTCTTTGCTTGGTTTTGCCATCCATTTATTTGTGTGTGCATCATTGTGACATCATTGCTTTTGCAGCACTGATCCTCAAACTGTGGAATGAGATTACATTTGCTTTATGTGTACATCTCTTCCTAAAACTTTAATCTTAAAAAAATGTCTGTGGATTTTAATTCACTTAATTTTAATGTTTCGTTGAAGCCTTCATGCTTTTGTGAAGCACATTGAAACTTTAGGAAGAAAAGAGAATAGAAATCAAGCTCATGATGATGTTATTATTATGAGTTATTGTGATTATTATAATACTCTTCTTGAATAATATGGTAATGTGGAGGAAAAACACAGGCTCTGATTGGGTAGAATCGGGTGACGTCAGGTTTCAGGAAGACGGAAGTGCCGGTCGCTCAGGGTTAGCGCGCGTTTTCAAAGAGATTCAACGAAATGGAGGAAAATCCGCCAAAGTCCAAACTGAAGCGGAGGAAGACGAGTGTGGAGAAGCCGCAGGCGGAGACAGGTTCCCGGGACAGAGAGAGGAGCAGGGACATCACAGAGGAGAGCCGTGGGTGGGTCTGTCTCTACTGTCTCTACTGTGTCCACTGTGTCCACTGTGTCCACTGTGGATCAGTCCTTACAGCCCCGTGTTTCATTTAGTGGCCAGGAAACGCGGCGCCAGACGAGTGAACGAACCTCCGTTGAAAAATAGAATGTTTTAATGTTGTCTTGCCTGTGAGCTGGAGAATATCATCGAGAACACTCGTTTGAAGGCTTTTTACGAGCAAGCGAGTCACAATAGAATAATTCGGCTTGTCCAACAACAGCGTTAAATACAGTGTTCAACCGATATTATTCCAAATTCCAAAATTTAATGACACTAATGTGAAATGATTATATTCTGAATGACATGTGTATTGTCGATATCTTATGTGTATCTTTCCAGGATGATAACAATGATGATGATAATGATAATACTGATGATGATGATGGTAATATTAATAATATTTACTTCATTTATTTAGCACCTCTCAACAACAGCAAAATGTATTCTTGTTTGCGTCCACCGGAACATCGGCCCCATTCACTTGAAGGTACAGTGTGTAGAATTTAGTGATATCTAGTGTTGAAGTTGCATGTTGCAGCTGAACACCCCTCACCTCACCCTCTCCTTCCAAACATGAAAAAGAACCTGTGGTAGCTTCAGTTGTCATAAAAACTCAAAAGGTGTTTAGTTTGTCCAGTCTGGACTAATGTAAAAAACATGGCAGCCTCCGTAGAGAGGACCTCAATGTAAATATAAAGTATTTAAATATAAAGGACCTTTTCTGGAGTAAAGAAAACTACAATTCATACAATTTAGATGAAACAAACTAGTGAAAACATCATGAGGATTATTCTACGTTAAATTTCTGACAATAGATCCCTTTCACCTAAATCTCACACACTGGACCTTTAAGTTTCTCTCTTTTTATTTCTATAGAAAATGTTAATCTCTCCATTATATAGATTTCGTAAATAATTTTGAACCAATCGTCTAATGTTTGTAACCACTTTCTTTTCAAGCAAAAAATTCCCTGCCAATAAGTAATCTTCTCATTAAGTACTTATCTGTTATGTCTGAATATTCAATGTAATAACACCCATATATATTGTCAGAGCATCAAATGGGATAGTGATCTGCAATGTAGTTTCCAAGGATTGTGAAGTTCCTGCCAGAAGGATGTCATTATTGGGCAATCGCAAAACAGATGATAATGGTTAGCTGTGGTTGATTCACATAACCTCCAACAACTCATTCCAGCACCTTGGAATCTCTTCTGGGCAGGGTAATACAAAATCTTATGATGCTTTTCCACCCAAACTCTCTCCAACTGTGTGAAGATGTAGTCATCCTTTGTGATTTACAAATATTTCCCCTTTAATCTTCAGAAATAACCATTCCTTCTTCTCTTTTCACATGCTGAGTTCTCGCCTTTGAAGAGACCTGGAAGCTGGTGTATAGTCTAGATATTATTTTGCAACCGTCTTTGTAGGTTGAAGAGATGTTCAGTTTATCATTGTCTGCTTTTCCCATCCCCTCAGTTATGACTTCATTTACCTAGGGGCTCACATGTAGGTATCTTAAGAAAATCTTGGTTCTCCAATCAGTAATCTTTTTTTAATTTTCCAAAAAGCTTCATTACTCGTATAATGTAAAAGTATGCTGTGAGCCCTTTTTTCATCCTTGCACAAACCTTGTACAATTTGTAATATGCACCAAATTGCACACACTCATAAATATCTGTCACCTGTGATGTATTTATTTATTTTCATTAGGATCCATGAATTATACTGTGATAATTCAACAAAAATGTTGAAAATTGCGCAATGTTCAAAATGTTGTTGTGTTATCCTGCCAACAATCAAACAAATGCAGACGGAAACATAACCTCCTTGGTAGATAAGGTGGCAAATAATTAAATATAGTTCATATAATCCAGGCACATTTCAGCTTTAAAGGTTCAGTGTGTAAGATTTAGGTGAAAGGGATCTTTTGGCAGAAATTTAACGTAGAATAATCCTCATGATGTTTTCACTGGTTCATTTCATCTAAATTGTATTAATTGTAGTTTTCTTTACCCCAGAAAAGACCCTTTATATTTAAATACTTTATATTTACATCGAGGGGACCCTCTCTACAGAGGCTGCCATGTTTTTTACATTAGTCCAGACCAGACAAACAACAGCTGTTTTTTCATGTTTGGAAGGAGAGGGTGAGGTGAGGGGTGTTCACCTGCAACATGCAATTTCAACACTAGATATCACAAAATTCTGCACACTGTACCTTTAATTATTTAATATACACAGAAGAGGCTCGTCATGAATCTATGTTTTATTTTGTATTTACAAATCAGACACTGAAACAAGCAGTTTAATAAAATGCTTACAAAATAATACACAAAATGAGAAACAATTCCATACTGGATGTTGGAAGATTTGTTATACATCTGGAAACTCATAATCTACTCTTCGGTTAAAATATTGAGGAAAAGACTGAGCTGCGTTGCAGAGGGAGAAGCAGACTGCACACATGGCGGTTGTTTGAGGCAGACAGTGTGTGATCTGTGCTTCACAGGTCAGTGAATCCGGCAGCAGCGTGGTGGAGCAGAGAGGAGCTGCCTGCAGTGGAGAGTCTGTGGGCGATCACACTGAAGTCTGCTCTGCCGTACCTGCAGGACCAGCACTGGCACCTGGTCCCTGATCTTCCACATCCATCTGCAGCGGTATGGTACCAGAGAGTGTAACTCATAGCACTGTCTCTGTCGTGATGAAACGCACAACAAGACTCTCATCAGAGACACACACCATCACAAAATGATCTTAGTTCAGGCGTTAAGAAGTGCTCTTGTTGTGTATTTGCATAGACTATTTATAATTCAAACAATATAGAGTTCGTAGTTGTGCTAATTTTATATAATTTATCAAAATGACATTATTGGTGCGTGATGGCAGCAGCTAACAAATCTCTCATTATTTCTACAGCATGAATGTGTGGTTATTGTTTTCTGGATTCGTGGTTCTTCCCACTCACTGCATTCACCATCAGTTAGCACTTTTCAATATAATCCACACTAATTGCTTTACCACAAGTGGGTGCCACTGGAGAAGGAATTTTGGCTTTGCAAGATGTGAGCCGAAACTATGCATAATGTGTATTTAAGGTGCTACACTCTCATAAAACCTCTAGTATGTATTATAAAATATGAACCCTGATGGTAGATAAAAATCTTTTCACCGTGCAGCAGCAGTTGTTTGTTTCCACTGTGGGATTTTATACAAACCAGGAGAAACCTCAACATGTCTCTGTTGATTTAACACAATTACCTTTTAATTAGTATCATTTCTATGTGTTCTTTTTTTACACATTGCAACATAATCATCTGTGTTAAATAATAAAAACCATCTCCCCTTTAGTTGCTTAAGAGCTCCCACATTCAAATGAGTCTTACATCTGATTTTGTTTCCATGGCACCTCAGAGACCTGCAGCACAACAGTTAGGTGAACAATGGTGGTGTGACCTCAGAGAAGAGGTGGCCCCTCTCCCAGAACCCGGTCCACCTTCTCCGAGGACTTTGTCGAGTCCGGATCCTCTCGGACTCTGCTCCCCTCAGCAGGATGTCTCAGTACACACCGAACCTGCAGTGCACACCTCTGACACACAGTTCTCCTCTCACAGCAGCCATGCTGGCAGAACAGCACCACCTCGAGCCCTCGCCAAAAGACAGTGGTCATCCCTCCATAACCGAGAGGAAGCGGCATCATCAGCAGGATGCTCAAGTGTTAGGGGAGAGGAGGGGAGGAAAGGAGGAGAGCAAGATGAAGCCGTTGGACCGGTGAAAAGACTGCTTCTCACAAAGCAGGTGAAGGAGAGAGGAAATGAGGAGGAGGTTGTGATGGATAAAGAGAAAGAGGAGGTGCTGGGGAGAGCCAGAGGAGATGAAGGAGCAGCAGCAGCAGGAGGAGGAGGAGGAGGAGGAAGGCTGCAGTGCTGCCCCATGTGCCTTCTGGTGTTTCCTGTTGGGTAAGAAATGAAACAAAATCTCTTCTTTTTTTCTTTAACACGTAAACATGAGCAGTCCTCCAGAGGATTCAGGTGAGGGGGGCCGCGGCAGGCAGAGGCAGGATCGAACGTATTAATTCTGCTCTGGAGATCAAATGTTTTTGTTTACAGCACGTCAGTGTCAGCAGCTCTTATCATCAAACCTCTCTTGACATCTACGTCAGTCGCTTCTACTTGTTTGTCACAGCTTTTTCATCCTGACATATTTGTTTTCTTTTAGTTTCTGTTCTCAGTTTTACCGTCTGTCGCTTGTTCGAAACTTCTTCAACCCCTCCACTATCTCGCGGTTAATCCTGCGGAGGATCTCCTGCTGGGTTCTTACATTGGCTTGTTCCGATGTTCTGCAGAATTGTTCACACATACACCCCGTCCTAATAATCTCCTGACATAATCTGCTTGCATCAGCAAAACTCTTGAATCTCCTTGTTTTTCTAAGTTGATGTTTGTTTCTGCTCTTCTTTGTGCATTGCTCCTCTTTTTCATCCTGAGATATTCTGTCCCATGTCAGAAGCGTCAAAAACACGCCTATTTGCCCGCTGTGAAGCCTCCAGATAATCTACTGCTGTGCTCTCACATGGGCCCATTAGGACATTATCTGGGGTTTGTCCGAGAGGGCTGGCAGGAGAAACTCCGTAGAAAGTCCGGAGGCTCTCACTCGGACATTTACGTTCTCACATACAGTCCGTGATCACCAGAGTTCAGTGCAGGTCTGAAAGCAGCTCGACAGTGTAAGTACTGAAGTGTAGGTATTTATTAAGAACTGTGATCAGGATCTGGCCCAAAAAAACGTGATTGCGAGCTCCCCAGTGGAAATGCTAAGAAAGTCAGTGAGAATAAAGTGTTGGTTATGCTGCTGTGGGCCTGGACCTGGTCTGACCTGGTGACTCTGTTAACGTTGGCCTGAGCAACAGCAGCAGCCTGTGCTCTCACTCTGCACGTCTCCTGCAGAAACAATGGTCACCTCTGTGTGACTGGACACAGAGGACCACAGACATCTGCTGCTGCCCTTACTCTCCTCGTCCTCCACCCATATTCCCCTCACACGTGCACACCTGCAAATACTATTTTGAATAATGGGACTCGCACTCATTTTTACCACTGCGAGAAATGAAAGGATCGGAGTCAGCTCAACAGTTAAATTTGTCCAGTGCTTTGACCACATACTTGCAAAACTACTCACATTCCCATCAGCCTTAGCTGTACTTTGTGCCTTCAGAACTAAATAGCAAAAGATATCACAAACCAGAGTTGTGTCCACTGCATCACAGAGCTGCTTGCATGGCTGCAGACTTGTTGAGTGTCCACTCAGAAAACAATCACGGTAAACTAGTTATTTAGTAAAGCCCCTTTTCCAATACTAACATCTGGCTTTTGTCTGTTATCGTGACTCCCAGTTCAAATAACTCAGCAGATAACTGCAGTAGACACAAGTTTTTATCAACTCTAGCGGTGATCGAAACATAACCTGGGCAAACGAGTTAATTTGGCAAGACAGCAGGAGAGAGCTTCTGTTGTTAGCACGTTCGTGATGTTGAACCTGACGTGCCGTGGGAAAATAACAGAGCGGCAAACTCCTCTACTGGCAATGGGAAAGGAGTCAATGGCCTTTTTAGCAGGTTTACTTCAGGTTTTTAAAAATCCAACTGTCGCCACTAAATTTAGTGTAAAAGATGTACTGTCTAACATGCCAGGATGTGATGGGTTTGGATTCAGCATCCTGACATTCAGTTACAGCTTGACATCTTTTGTTTTCCAGGTAGAAGCCTTTGAGCAAAATGTCGTTGATATTCATTCTAGTAAAATGTTTTATTTAATTTAATCTAAGTATGTGAATTGTCGGGCTGTAAGTATTCCTATGTAAGTGTGTGTTCACGGTCAACAGAGCTAAATCTCCTTGTTCCTGTCACTCCAGGTTCACACAGATGGACTGTGACGGCCACCTGGCCCAGTGTCTGTCGGAGTTGAACGTGGACATGACCTGGTGAGCCCACAGGTGGCTACACTGGCTGCCGTCCAGGAGCTGCAAGCAACCCAGATGCCCCGCGCTCTACAGGATCACACTGTACGGTGGACACACCCAGAGCACAGGGAGCGCTCATACTCAGTGATGTTCTGACACCTTACACAGGCCGCACACTGACAGGGGAACTCCTGCTGGGACAGTGACAGCATTCATATGTTCCTGAGAGGGGTCTTTTTGAGAAATTTCCATCTGGCTTTGGTCACATAATGATGGCACCTCTCAGAGGACCCTGCTGTCGTATTTCAATTTACCCTCTTTAGACACTAGATCCCACTAAATTTGGCTCCACATGATGGTTTCCACTTGCCCTCTGGTACTTTTGATACCAGCCAGTAGAGAGGATCTCCAAACTAAAGAGACAATTCAATCCATCACATCCTCCTCCGGGAGCTACTTCATAAGTACACATTCGACTGATTGATTGAAAGACACAGTTGTTTTCTCAGAAGAAACACTTTTGAATTAGACAACTGCAAATACATAACCACTGACTAATATTAGGCCTAGAAAGTAACAGACATGAACTCCAGAGGATGTCTGGAGAATTGGGTCTTTTTCCACGTGTTGCCTTTCACACATAAACAACAGAGCAAACAACAGCACTAAATTCTGTGTGCGTGCATGACATGCATGAACAATTTCACTTTAATCAGAAATATTCTATAATATATTCTGTCTTTCTGTCATGTTCTTCCTCTAAATGTACTTTATGTGAAGTGTAGATGGTTATGAATGTGCACACTGGCCTTGATATGCACTGTAGAGTGACTGCGCTGCAGAGTTTTCCCATGAATTTCTATAAAGAGTTTATTTTTTACCAATCAATAAAAAAAAGATAAGGATGTTTGAAGATGAAAAGTGGTTAATGGTCTGTATGAACAGAGTAGGTGCTGATCAGAGAAATACACACACATGACCTCCCCCACACACACCGACACACACACACAGCAGATTGTTCTGCTGTCGTCTTCAAAAAGGAAGGAGTCCGTTCACGGAAAACCAGTATCATTTTTAATAATTACACATATTTACAAAGATGCGGTGAAGCAAAATAAAGCATTCCCCACCAGCGGTATGTTACAGCTGAAAACAAGGGCCATGTTCATTCATTTTAGACGAGGACTCTGTTTTAAAATGGCCTTCACTCTTGTGTACTGTGGTTTCAAGGACTCCCAGTTCATCTATTGGTCCCTTCAGAAAAAAAGAATGAAACGAATGTTTCACCTGCTGTGTAAAAACATGACATTAACAAAGTTCAGAGGGTCGGAGGACGAAGCTTCCTTCAACGTTGAAGTGATTTCCAGCTTCTTCAAGTGTGTGTGTGCGTGTGTGTGTGTGTGTTCAGTGTGGTGAACTAATCGGTGACTGTGGAACTGCTTCTTTATCTCTCCTCTCTCTATCTGTTCCTTGCCTGACTGTAAAGGCCCTGCAGCTAATTGAGACCCTTTGACTCAGGATCATCTAATTAATCCTATTACGTTGTTATCTAATTAACACGGGTCAGATTTTATCAAACACTTCTCAGCCAACACACAGCTGTCTTTCCTCACAAGTGCACAGACAGCGACCAACACAAAGCTTGTATGAGAAGCGATTTTTTTTTTTTTTTTTTAAATCCGTGCTCACGATTGATATTCACAGATGTGTTGTGCATGTGTTTGATTTTACCAGCACAAGGCTCCTACACTGTGCTGCTTGCTGTGTATAAATGTGGCAGTGTATGAGGTCAAACCTGCCGGAACTACAAACAGCCTAAAACTTCCCTGTATACAAATAAGCTCATGGCTTCTCGTCGTTGTTGTGGTTGATGGAGTACACCTTGCACCTGCGCAGCATCAGGCGCAATGAGAATTGTGATTAAAAACCCTCTGATGAATGAAAACTGCAGGGCCGAGCAACAGCATGGAACTGAGCCTGCAAACAACCGGTGCTGGAGAGCTGAGCACTGTGTCAGGCTGACTTTACACTGGGCAACTGTCTCTTATTGATTGTGGCTCCGACTGATGCTGAAGCTTCAGTATCAATAACAAACTGCAAATGTAAACATGGTTAACTCAATTATTATAAGTCAACTTTGTAAAAGAAGGATGTCTAAATAAATTATAACCTGATGTGAGACATGTTTCCTGATTTAAATTGAGACATGTGTGACCTAATTAAGCATTTGACGCCAACTTTTGATATTCTGTCTGGATATTTGATTGTGGTCGATACTCAATAAACAACAGTTCTGTTCAGCAGCGGTGCTCCTGATGTTCAGGGGAGGGAACAGTCTTAAGACAGACGAGCATGCAGCTGCGTTTTATCTACATTCACATCTCTTTGCATGGTATTAAGTGTTCACAATAGCTCTGTGTGAACAGATACTGTTCGTAAATACAGTATGTACAATGATTATTGTACAAAGACCAAGTTTAGCGTACACAGAGACGGTGCTGAGTAGAGCGTTCATGTATTGTTTGATAGCTGCGAGATCCCACCCCCGACTTTCTCAGATTTTTAAGGATGCGGCTAAAAACACTGCTGTGCTGCCTGCTAGTTCAGAGTCTGTCACAGCCCCTCCATGTTAACACATTAACACAAATTAGAAAACAGTTACACACTGTTACTTCAAATGACTAATTAATACACATATTCAGTCCAGTGTGCCATGTAGAGTTGCGTCAAATGAAACATGAAGGTTGAAGTAGGAAGTGAAAATGATCATTTTCTATAATCGACCAATGGTTATGATTTATTGAAATCAGCTGACGTTATTAAAGGTGCAGTGTGTAAGATTTAGATGAAAGGGTTCTATTTGGCGGGGTAGAGCGGTCGTCCTCCAACCAGAAGGACAGCAGTTCAATCCCCAGTCTTCCCCATCTGCATGCCAAAGTGTCCTTGGGCTAGATAATGGTGAACCCCCTCATAGAACAGAAAAAGTGCTGCCAATGATGCACTGTGTGAATGGCAAACTGTACTGTAAAGCACTCTGAGTGGTCATCAAGACTAGAAAAGCTCTTTATAAATACAAACCATTTACCATTTATTGGCAGAAATTCAATATAAAATAATCCTCATGATGTTTTCACGAGTGTGTTTCATCTAAATTGTATGAATTGTTGTTTTCTTACTCAAGAACAGGCCCTTTATATTTAAATACTTTATATTTGCATTGAGAGGGTCCTCTCTGTGGAGGCCGCCATGTTTTTAACAGTCCTCCAGACTGAACAAACTAAACACCTTTGAGTTTTTATGACAACTGAAGCTACCACAGGTTCTCTTTCATGTTTGGAAGGAGAGGGTGAGGTGAGGGGTGTTCAGCTGCAACATGACACTTCACCACTAGATGTCACTAAATTCTACACACTGTACCTTTAAGTGTTGAGTCTTAAAAATCTTGAAACTTCTTCATCATGAGTAACAACTGTCTGTCGTCAGTACCTGATGTTGGAGCTCTAACACCTAAGTGAAGAAAGTATCAATAACCCGATGTTTAAATTGAGAAACATAGTTTTAATCTCCATGTGAAAAATTTATAAACAAGAGAAATTTGATTCCTGAGAGTAAAATGGTGATTATTTAAAGTCTAACATTAAATGTCATCAGTATTTGACTTTGATTTAAAAGTCCTCATAATAAGTTTTATATTGTTTCAGCCTAAAAGCTGCAGTTCTATTTAGTATTACTATTTAATGTCACTGTTAATAAAATGCTGTCTGTCCTTTGCCTGTTCTCTACAGTCAGTTTAGCTGTCCACCAAACAAGAACGCTGGCCACCCACTCTAAGACCTTCCTGAGGGATTAGCACGATTTTTTAATCCAAACAGATTATTTTTGTCATTTCACTTGGTCTTTATGACTAAAGGAACAATTTCACAATGTTAGTGGCTTTGCAGTAGCATCAGAGTTGCACCATGTAAAGTCAGCCTCAGTGCCGTGATGGAAACACACAATGAGCCCGAAATAGAAATGGAGACACGTTTCCACGAAGCAGAACAACCCACCGGTCACATGACATTTTCGACTGGCTGCAGATGGTCACGCAGTGGCAGCTGGTGTGGAAGAATCCGAGCTCGGCCAGCAAGCCTGTACACACTGTGGAGGCCAGAGCCAATGAAATGCCTCTCAGCCGAAGCCCTGATATCATGTTTTTTTAAATCTGCCAGGCTGTGATTGCACCGTGGCCTTCATACACCTTCATACTGGGTTTTATCCAGCACTGTATAGACGCCCTCTGCTGGATCACAGCCACCTGTGACAGTTCAAAATGATAGTTTAGCATTGGAAAAAACTCTCGGTAAGCAGGACACAGTCATCGCTATCTATTATCTATACAGTAGACTTCACCTTTGAGCCTTTTGTCTCTTACAGCCACCAGATTCAGTCATTTATTGAAGATTCATTAAAAACCTCGATTTATTCATTGAAAATGAAAAGATTCAGTCATGTGTCGGACTGTGGCAGCTCACTTTGCTCCAAATGTATTGATTCCCCTCTAAATTTGAACAATGTGGGCCAACCCTGGCACAGCTCAGCCACAGCTGAGTCCATGATGGGTGAAGAAATGTTCAGTAAGAGATAAGTGCATTCAGAGACAAGGTCATTAATTTGATCTTTGAGGCACTTCTTAAATAAAAAGTTGTGTCCCAGTTTGCTATCCCCCCCCCCCCAAGTGTTTGTGAAAACCATAAGAGATAAAGATAAAAAGGAAAGTTTGTGATTACGGATGAAAATGTGCCACTTGCATCAATAAAAAGGCATCGTCAATTTTGGATTCACTACCTACAATATAATACACAATAATAACTTATTTTTTTTCCTGTCATCGTACATTCTTGCTCGTGTGAGGCCTTGCCCCGCCCTACAAGATTAAAAAAAAAAGGAAAACAAAGTGCACATAAAATGTCAAGTTCTTTAGCAGAACTATCATATTCATCCAGGGATGTGAGTCAAGTTGAAATGTGTTCATGATGGCAGGCACAGAATCAACAACAGCTCTCTGTTCAAATTACAAAGCCAGTCGTGCTTTGACATGAGGATGGACATTCTGACGGAAAAGAGGGATGAAGCCAGGGGAGATTAAGAAAAGAAAAGAAAAGGGGGAAGACAGTGGAACAACAGGGAATGTTCTTGTAGTTCAGGGTCTTTATTTTCCTTGTAGAAAGAAGAGTTTGGTACTCCCAACAAAACAAAATCGTCCAGGAAGGAAACTCTCCCACTCCCCTGTTTGCCTTGTTGACAGGTCCAGAGGGTGAGTTCGTCCTCCCCGTCGTCCTTTACTCTTCTGCTCGCCCTACAGAGTTGGCGAGTTGCGAGTGGTTTTTGGCTGAGACGGCAGCTTGGACAGACAGTAGGTGGGCGAAGGAGGAAGCTTCGTCTCTCCTTCATACAGACTCTTCTGTGGATAGCAGCAGGGGGTTGATGTATTCAAATCCCTCAAATTCTGACTGGTCTATTCTCTTGATGACGTCCCTGAGGAGATAGGGAGATGCAACGGAGAGTTAGAGGTGTCATTTCAGCACAAACGCAGAGCACGGTGTCATTTCAGCACAAACGCAGAGCACGGTGCCATCTGCAGCAACCCTGGATCGAACTCTGAACAAAGGCAGGGACAGGTTTTACAGCATTGACAGAAAAGACTCTCCCTTCATGTTCTTTGCTTTGCAATTGCTACTGGTATTCATGTTGTGATCAGGAAGAGAATGGGATGTTGCCAATAATGAAACATGAGCTGTATCTCAGTTCAGGGGCTACATCCTTCGGAGGTGTCACAACAGCACAACTAGGCTGTCTCATTTCGAGGTTCCTTCGAATGCCGCTAAAAAATCCCGTTCCTGAGAAAAGAAGGCTTCAATGTGTGGATCCTTCACATCTCAACCTATCTCAGGATGTATTGCACTGTAGTGACAAACATTTTTCAAAGCTGTAAAGGCGTCCAAGTTTTGAGTATCCCACTTCAACTCAATGAAACAGTACTGGTTATAAAAAAAAGGGGGCATTAAAACTTTCCCATTGTGCCCAACTTCAGCTTGTTGCTAGGCAACAGCAATAAGGGGCGAGACTAGCTGGTGACGCTGATCATGGAAAGCCTCTGTAAACCAGACCGTCTCATTTGGGTTCAGCCTTCATGGTCTACATTCCAAGAAGACTTCCTCCTTCATGGGCCGCATAAATCATGTCCTCTGAAGGATGCAGCCCGTGAATTGACACAGCTATGATCTGCTTTTAGGAAAAAGACAGGTCATGTGTGATTGAAGTTGGGATGATCATTTTTTTGACAGGAGTGATGTGCAGTGAGTAAAGTGCAGAACTGTGCTTTGGTTTTTCATCAGCTCTGCCTGTTTTAATCACTTTAAAGATGACATTACTAGTAGGTAGACCTAATCATATGAGGTTACTGTTTTTTGTTGCTGATGACTGCTACAGTTTTGCCAAAGCAAAAAAACTACCAGATTGTGTGATGTTTATTTGTCAGTAAATCCTTATAACCTTATAAAAAATCTCTCAGTACATGATGTCACATGAAACAGGGGAAACATGGAGTGGACCAATCAGTGGAGGAACTTTTGTTTCCTGACGAGCTGCTTCCATTAACAAAGGCATAATCACAGGTAAATGGAGCAGAACCCTATAACTAGTAGTGGGCTCAGAGAGGCTGCATGGGTAAAAATAAATGTACTTCCTTAGTAACACTCCTGGCTTCTTCTCCTGTAGCAACAGGCTGTTTACTCATCTGTGTGTGTGTGTGTGGTGATGAGATGAAGGACTGAAACCCCAAAAAGGAGGCCTCTCTCCGGGAAAGGCTGAAAGGCTTTCTCTCTGCAGAAAGAAGCTTTGAAGTTAAAACAAAAGGTGCGTTCACTGCACGTAACCCTACTGTACCAGGTGGGTGGGGGTCTCACTTTAAGGGCCACCAGCAGAGTCACACAGGTTGCAGATCCCACCCACATGAAGAACCAGACAAGTGAATGAAATGCTACACTGTCTTTGTTTCAGTTTGCTGACCGGCATACTGATGAAGCAAATATTTTCCCTCTATCTGATCTCATGTGAAGTACTCTCACTGTACGAAGAGGTCAACCACCAATTCAACAATTACATTGAGAAACTGCTGTTTTTCTACGCTGGGGTTGAGAAGAGAACAGAGAGAAAGAAAGAAAGAAAGAAGGACACATGAAAGAGAGGGGAGAAGGTTTGGGAGTTGACCAAAACAAACAGTGTGTTCAACCAACGTAAAAAAAAAAAAAAAAAGTTTTCTCCAGGGTTTGGAGGACTTGAAAGCATTACCAGATGCAGAGTGAAGAGGGGAGAGTGAGGAAGGGACCGAGGAGGAGGGAGTGAAGTGGCAGAGAGGGAACAAGCATGAGGCAGAAAAGAATGACGACACCTAAAGAGCATTTCAACTGGTTTGTGAAAACAGCAAACACCTTGTACCAATATTAGACTAAGAACTCCACACTTGTATTCCTTACATTCTGTATACATCAAGATTTGACCAGAGGCTGTGCACTAACAATAATGAAGGCCTGGTGGAATCCAGATTTTGTGTTGATTTTAATATTTGTTGACAACCTAACTTTTGGAAATGACAAAACGATTGCATCTTTCATCAGTGACTAAAACTAAATGTAAAAGACCAATTAAAGGACAAATGACAAATGACTTTGGAATCACACACTGTAGCTCCTGATTAGCAAATTAAAAGAATTAGTTCTTTGTTAACTGCACTGTTAACGAGAAGCGTACTCAGAGAGTGCAAATCCTAGCCCCATCTCGCAATGTAGAGGAAAGTGAAAAAAAACCCATTTGGATCCAGTCCCTTCCTTGAATCCCTTCCAAAAGTTAATGAGTTCTTCTTTGGCCCATGCCCCACCCTTCCACCAAGTTTCAATACAATCGGTGTCGTAATTTTTTCATAATTCTGCCAACAGACAGACGTAACCCCATTGCACAGGTAATGGGCACTTGGGATTTGGTCTGTGTCAGTAACACTGTGATCTAGAAACAGATCTATGTATTTAATTTATCGACAGTCCACTGACTACTGAACAGAAGTGGCAGGAAAAAACTGCCACGAACATCTTTTGTTTTGCAAACAGAAAGCATTGTGTGAGAAAGTGAGTTACTTTAGTGAGGTACATTGTTGTATATAATACGTACATCTTTCCAAAGTCACCTTTTTGGCCCGTCTACACTGAAAAGCAACCCCAAAGTTTTCAAACGGTAAATCCTCCGTTTTGAGGGCTCAGAAGCTCCACAGTAGTGTGCACAGCAGGTATAAATGTAGCAACTGTGATGTGTCTAAAACCAACTTGTGTTCTGAACTGTAGATTTGTATTTGTTGGAAAGAAGAAAAGGGGAAGAATTGATAATTACGGAGTCATCAGCTTCCTAAAACACAACATCTATTTTGCAAGGCAACAGGTTCAGGGGACAGAAGAGAACAGTCTATTGGTCCTCGCCTTCATGTCCAACCATGAAACAACCACCAGGGGCCGAGGCAAGAGTAGACCAAAGCATGCTTGCCCAGGCCCTGGCTGCCATTTTCTAAGAGAGGGAGCTGGCACTGAAAAACTAAAGCCTCTCTCCCCCTCCTCTCACCATGCTGGCAAGCCCCCCCAGCAATTCTGGCTTTTAACGTCGCCATGTAAATCTCGAACACGGAGGGTTTACCCTTCTCTCTGCCTACACGACTCTCACTTCTCTTTCTTCTTGTGCCAAGCCCATCACGAGTGGGAGAGAAGGGAGACTGGAGAGCTTTTTGCATCACCCCCTCCTAGCGGGAGTGGGCGACGTCAGCCCCTCTCCCTGGTAACAGAGGGAAAAGAAAGGGATGGGGAGATAAAGTGCGAGACGAAGGGAGGAGGCGTGCGTTGTCTTTTGATGTACGGTGGTGTTTGATGCCAGGTTGATATCTCCACTACTGAACTGGCAATGTGCTCTCCACCCTGTTCTCCCACTCACCCCCCCCCCCCCTTTCTCCCCTCGCTGTATAACCCCAACCGATTCGAAAATTGCCTCTCCAAAAGTCTGTCAGGGACTCCCGTTGTCAAACCCTGTCACAAATGAGCTGGGATGAGCTTCAGAGCCGTCTCGCTGCAGAACCCTAATGAGCTGCGAGGCTCACCCACTCCGAGGCTGGTTTGAAGATCAGTGTCTACTGAACAGCAGAGGTGTACAGCACCTTCAAACAGAGGGAGAGCCCTGGTAGCTACCCAAAGACATCTGTCATGGGTGCAGAGCATGATGGGCATTTAATAAGGCTCCAATTAACACCAGGAGCTCCCGTCGCTCCATGCTCTGCCATTTCACAATAGCGTATTTATTGCTGAACATGTTCACAAGTCGCACCAGCAGGAAAAAACAGGGATGGTGCCTCAGTCAGTCTCCACCCGGCGGAGTGTCGAACCAGTGGTGATTACATCACTGACTGCCTAAATGTGGCATTTTATTTTAAGGCTGCTGCAAACTAGAGGATAATCGGGTTGATTGAGTCAGACCCCCCTGATCTGGAATCTTAACATTTACAATAATCGGCTCAGACAGAGACCCACAATAGCCAGAGAGAGGAAGCTGACCGGGAAGCGTCACCAACCGGATGTTGCGTACTTGCATAGCTGCCTCTGGCTTAATATAACAATACAATTGCAACTCACTTCCAGCTTGTGCTGCAAAATGTAAAAGCAAATTCCGCCTCCTCAGTCATGACTTCTTTTGACTTTATTTGTTTTCCGATGCAAAACAGAACACACAACGTCAGTCCTCCACGTTGGATTTGTTGACTCCAGTTCAGAAGATGGCAGGAAGTTGCCTACAATTTGTTTGCCAACTGCCATAAAAAAAATGAAGAAGAGGAAGAATCTCTGGAGTGTATGAGATTCCAGTTCAAATTGCCACTTAGAAATCGTTCTGCTGCAAAGGTCAAGTGTGTGTTCCTACGTTCTGGCCAAATCAAATCAACAGTATGTTTGTTCTGATGATTCTTATCTTAAAAACCGATTAAATCTGTCCTCATGTCTGTCGTCTCCCATGTTTTTAAAACTGGTTAAAGGCTGTAAATCCTCTGGTGTGCACCAGGCTTTAGAATCTTAATCCTGCTTCATTTTAAGTCAAGAGTCATAGGTGGTACAGATGGTTCAGAGAAATGCTGTGTCCCATCCAGGCTGAGCAGAAGAACCACTTTGCCCCAGCACAGTTTATTGTTCTATTGCTGACCGAACCTCAGGCAGTGATACCTTGCGTGTTGCCTGTACCTTTAGGCTTCATTAAGTTTCAACAGTCTGTCTAAAAGGCTTTTTATGTCAAAAAAGGGTGGGGGGGCTTCTTGTCTTCTTTCTGAAACCTGCCAGTCGCACACACTCTCCAATCAGCCACACGTGCTAAGGTGCAAAGGTGGACGTCTCTCGTCTGTTTTCCTTCTTCAAACAGCTACTTGGGTTACTTCTCTTGCGCACAATAAAGTGCACGGTGACTGCTTTCAGGGCAAACTGTACGATTCATTACGTAGAGACTACAAACACAGTGAAAAGACAGAGCTTTTGGAGGGAGATCAGAGAGAGAGAGAGAGATCAGAGCTTGTATTGATCATTTACTGTATGTTCTCTATTCACCATTGCTCATGCAAGAACACAGAAAGGGAAATCTCGCTTTTGTTCCGTTATAGATTTTCAGAAGGCATGAAGTGTAAATCACCACCTTCTGCTTAAACTACTTAAATGTAGTATTAATGGGACTCTTATGAAGCTGTGGAAGTTCTTTATCAAGCCTCAGGTGCATGTGAGCAGCTTAATGACTAAAGACCAGTTGGGTTTCCAAAGGCTTTTAGAGTTCAACAAAAAGGGATGTGCTCTGTCTGCACTTCATATTCATCACTTCATAGCTGAGATTTAGAAAGCAGGTATTTAGGTCAGACTTTCAATTTTACAGCTGCTTCTTTTTTTCTGCAGATGATGTAGTTCCTTGGCAAACCCCAAACAGGCTCCACAGGGTAAATATTCCACATAATGGGTGAAAGTAAATGGCGACTGCAGATTCACCAAGATACAACTCGGATCATGTATTTCAAGTTCATGCTTCACATTGGTTCTATTCTTTTTGTCTTCATCAAAGAGATGTTGTTAACGTACGGTGAAGCTTTACAATGATCCTGGTCGTGACGCATAAATACAACTTTAGAAATCTTGTGTCTGTCCAGTCGTGCATTAGGGATGTGCAGCAAACACAAAGTGAGTAGAAAACAGAGCTATGTGTTTTTTCTTGGGCGTTGAAACCCGTCAGTATGTGTGGAGACACAATGGGAGCCGTGTGAAGTTGGACAAAACAGTGACATGCTGGGATTGTGGGGTAAGTTAATTGACATGTCTGACAACAGAGCAACAAAACAATTCAGTTATTGGGATTATTCAGACATGATTCACTTGAGTCCGTATTTAGAAATAATGAAACACCTCTTTGTTATGCTGCTATAGGCCTAGATTCTTCCCCCTCCTCTTCCTCTTCATCACATTACTGTCTCATTAATACATGGGACTGACTTGACTTTTTTCCCTGGAGTCTTTGTGCTTTATCGTTGCAGAATCCGGATCACGGCTGCGGCCACATCGTCGATCGTGATCATGGTGGATCGTGGATTATTAGCACCAGACTGTGTAGATATACAAGGCCAAGGACTTATATATACTACTATTACTGGCAATAGCGCTATACAATTGTCATTGCTGCTCCCTTCATCTCCGTCAGACATTTTCTTCTGTATAAATACTTTACACATCAATAAGCCTCTCCACTTTTTGTTAGACACTGTCTTTTCTCATGAATGGTGTACATTTTGTTAAGTTGTTGATGTGCTCCACTACAAGCGACATCTATTGCACTTCTGTCCAGTGTGGGGGAGGGATCCTTCACATGTGAGTCTCTCTGAGGTTACTATGTTTCTTGCTAGTTTTTTCCTCACTCTTACTGAGGGTTGATGGTAAATGAGGCATCTTGTTGAGCACTGTGAGACAAATAGTGATTTGGGAATATGAGCAAATAAAATCTGATTGATTCATTCTACTATTTGAAAGTGCTAATAAGCAAACTTGAGAACATGTTCTAACCGAGCCAATTACCGTCACAAGCAATGTGTCTCTCTGAGGTCTGTGCTAAGGCCTTTAACCTCCACACGGTCCCAGAGGACAGGGTGTGTCCCCAGTGTATCTACTATACTTTCTATTATGGGGTTCAACTTTTCTTCAGATTGTGTGCTGGGCATCAGGCTGCTTAATACGACAGATAAATGTATTGTATATACATGTTTACACATAACACGTGTGACATGCGTTTTTTTTTAAATCAGTTGAATATGAGAGGATTGTACGTGTAACCGTTTATATCTGATGTAGTAATCTAAATGTAATGCACTGCACATGCTGACAGCCCACATGGGAAAGTTCAGACGTATTAAACTTTTGTAAATATTAATTAATTTAAAAGTGTATAGAGATGTGACTGTGTCAACATTTAATGCTATGATTGTTAAACATTTTAGGTAATATCAAGATAATCATCACACCTTCCTGAATAATACTAATATAAGAATAAAAACACAGAACAGTTACTCTGCACCTGAGACTGAAACAAACTGAAAAGTGAACAGTGTGTGATAGCCACCTTTTTTTTTTCCTGTGGCCTCTCCAGATCTTCCACTGATAAAAAATATTTCTCCTGAAATAATGTGTTATTGGATATAAACCACTCCATGAAAAACTGAAATGATGGTGACTACCTTTATGAGTGTTTTCAACGGTATTTTTACCTCTGTGCTTTCCTGCTGCCCACTACACGTGACAGAAAGCAATGTTCCATCATGTGAACAGAAAAATAAGGTTAGCATCTTCATCAATAAGGTTAGGCTGTCATACCTTCAATCCTTCGAATACTTTGGTATAGTAAATACCATAAACATTCCCATTCCATATTTTTTTTTTTTACGTATAGGACATTATACACCACTGTGTGGAATTACAAACCCTTATAATAGCACTAAACGCTAATAAGGATTTAAGTGGTAAGGTGCATGGTGTATCTCATTTTCAGCTCAGCGGCGTGATTAAGCTTGTTGAGATATAACTGGCTAAAATCTGTCCGATAAAAGCTTTGCAGGAAAAATATAAACATTAGAGCCTGAAAAATCAATCCAGCATGGACATAAATGAAAATCTTGTCTGACATAAGCCTGGTAATAACTATTGGCAGGGCCCAACAAAGCCTTATGGAATCCATTTTGTGATGGCACAAAAGAAAGCGGGCTGCGCTTGTGTTTGCGTGCAGCGGCTGCAGACAGTCTGCAGCAGCGGAGCCTGCACTGTGTCTGTTGTCGTGCCAGATCTCTTCAGCCTTTTCCCTGCAAAGTAAAATCTTAAACAAGGAATCCTGTCAGATCCTGAAGGCTACATGTTTGCATTGATGAAAACAATGTCTCTGATGGATAAAGACGTCAATGTTGGGAACTCGGGTGGGTGGGGTGGTTGTGTTTTTCTCTATTGGTCCTATAAGTCCTCTGGGAAGGTGGCACATTACCAGCTGTTTGTTTGACAGAATCTACTGATCATGTGTGCTGTTCTTTTGGTTTTACACATTTCACACTTGCCAAGTACAATCACTGTAATGTCCTGTGGGCTACTGCATTACGATACTACATGAAGTGCGATTCTGGATTTTATTTGCTGATTGCGACACACTTACAAAGAGAAGATTTTAATTATGTCCTGCACTCATCTTGTGCTTCTCCCCTCTTGTGTTCTGTTTGTCCATGTATGGTCTGTGTTTGTAGCTGGGTCACAATTCAGGGCCGCAGCATAGACGCTACATTTGAAGACTGATGGCGTCACAGCAGCTCAAACCAGGCTGTCCTGGAAGACTCAAAACATGGAAATGCATCCTTGCATTCCAGAACACTGAAGGAAGCAGCCCCTGAACTGGAGCACAGTTAATGTGTTGCGTTGGTTGAATGCACGTGGCTCTCCGGTTTCCTGCTGCCACTATTTCAACAACACAGCTGAGTCGCATCATCATATCAAGTCAAGTTTGAGCACAGACGCCTAAGCTGCTTTCAGACATGCACTCAGCTCCAGAGATCCTCCGCAGTTTCTCTGGAGGAGGTCGGGGTTGCAGAAATGAACATTTGTGATTGTTAGCGGATGGGTTTGGGCGAAATAGGCAAATTGGACAAGTTATGAGAGGACAATTTGCTTTCTTTATGGCGTAACATGGCAGCTCATTCCCACAGCTGCTGCAACTTGCAAGAATTTTGTGCATTCCTGCAACAAGCATTGCAAGCAAGCGCTCATTCAGCGCAGCAGGGCACATCGTTGAGGCGCCAGAAACTCCACTCGAACATGAACTTTCTTACAAAAAGCCTCTGTGGAGAAGCTCCTGAGGATCTGCGGAGTTCATGTGTGAGAGCAGCTATATCCATTTCTGCAGTGTTACTTTAACTACATTTAATGACATTACAAGAGAGAACAATTCCAAACTGTGTTTTCCAGGAAAAGTGTCAGGAGCAGTACTTACTCATCATCCGGTGTTAGCTGCACTGGTTCATTAGTAAACTGCGTGTCAAAGTTTTCGAGGCCATAGTCGTCAGAGATTTGAGGTTTGAAGGGCGGCGTCACCTCTTTCTTCTCCAGCTGAAAACAAACATAAAAATGTTTCATGCACAACTGTTTTTGCTCAGCAATGGAGACAATGGAGAAAACACCACAAAGCTCTGCAAACACATCATGTGCTTCTGATTCAATCAACTTCTGATAATCTGACATGGACAGGGAGAATCCGAATGATAAAAATTCATCTTTTTCCTTTAGCAAAACCTTTTAGCTCAAATGTAAAAGCTGTGAAGGTGAGGATGGTTGTGTCTTCTTAAGCCCCTTCTCCAATGGTCTAAAACCCCACTAACATCTGGCTTTCTTCTGCAATGGGAATGGATAAAAACGACATTCACTCCCGTGTCAAAGGTCCAATTGCCAGTGATAGAAACATAACACAGGCTGGATGCCGCAAAACGTTCTGACACGCATTGAACTTCAGGGCAACAGCGAGTGGATAGCCCTGAACATTTGAAAATAATGTGCAACAATTGTTTCTTTTCATATCTGACAAAAAGCATCCTTGGCAAGGCAGAGCGATGAGCGAGCTTCTCAGTGTTGGGCATGTTTGTGATGTTCAACATGAATAACTGGGGAATAAAAAAATAAACAGCAAGGCAAATGTCACTACTGTCAATGGGAAATGAGTCACCTTCGGGTTTAACCATGTTTAAAAAACCTGTGTATACTCACTAACTTTGGTGTAAAAGAGGTATTATTTGATTTTTTCACAATTTACTTAAAGCAAAATACATACGGATGATGCCTGGGAAACTCCAGTAATGTTCATTTAGTTTATTTTTCAATATGAACTGCAATAGTTTCTTTCAGTGTTTTCTGAGGACTCATATGGCTCAACAATTGACAGCCTGCTACGGTTTTTATTTACAACTTTCACTGGATCATCGGCACTGATTTAACTCAAATTAAGCATTTATCTCCATTTGTGGCCACTACGTCTAATTTAATTTAGTACTGGACCGGTTCGACAAACACATGTCTATGAATGAGTGACATTAAGATTTTAGAAGGACAGCTGACTTTGCAGTGCAGTGCAGAATTATGGCTGATAAATTGTGACTGGACCTTGCTGTTCAGGTTTAGTGGTCAAATGACCTTAACAAGTACTGTGTGTATTAAAGCCCGGTGTGTTGTGGTCCAAAATCACAAACACTGTAGTATATTTGGACACATAAACACTGTAGTATATTTTGACTCACTAAGCAACATATATAGATTAATCCTCTGAAATGTGAAAACAAATGTGATGTTTTCTCCTGTTTGAGTAAATGGTGTTAAAAACTACACTGCTCTGTTGTTTTAGGATAAGTTGTTGATATATTCAGTTTATGCTAATTTGACTCAATAAATATAAAAAAGGAAGAGATGCTGCACTTTTGAAACCAACAGTGTTATGCACAGTGCACCAGGCACAGTGGCTCATCTCAATACCAACTACAGCGTGAGACTAACACCTTGTTGCTAGATCGCTCTGTGGCAGGAGAAATGAAGACGGGACTGAAAAAGGGAGAAAAAACAACAGAGTGGAAAGGGTTGAGGCAGCAGAATAATTGTGGCCGAGTGATTCAGCCAGGAGAGTTTTTGTCTGTTTGTTTCCATGGTTTCACATCCGTCCCTCATCCTGTTAAAATGTGCACGGAGAACATTTTCTGAGAACACGATGAAGTCAGATGAGCACAGAGAGACTAAACATACACAGGTTTACTCTCCATCGTGATTTTAGCTGTTCCCTCATCTAGGAATATACCACTTGAGAAGTAGGATTATCAGAAACTGAGGAGGCTTTAAAGAGAGGTAAATACATATTGTTTTTGATGGCTGATCCAGGTGCTCTCTGATCTGATGGATCCAGATTTTTTTTTATCCGTAAATATCATCCCACTTAATAGTTCTGATTTTTAAAATTAAGTTGAGTGCATTATTTCCTGAAAAAACATGACAATAAAACTTCCTATATCGCAATGTTAAAGAAAGGGGGAAAAAAACCTGGATCTGCATCTGCACCAATATTTGATGGGTTTTTTCCTAACACAGGCCCCACCCCTCCAAGTTTGGACAAAATCTGCTAACAAATACACCAATGAACCGAAGACGTAATGATCCCAGTCCAAAAACAAGGCAATGATGCAGTGATCTTTTAATAACTGCAAAATTGGGGCACATGGTGGTAGATACTCTGCAATACTGTGCTCATTCTTAGATGGGGAAATAATTGGATAAGAATGAAGTAATATATCAAAGCAAAGTAATATCAGGTAATGTTTCCATAGTGTTACAGTAAAGCCCAATATCAGGTTGGATTGGCTTTTTTATTCCAAATGTTCTTCTCTGTTGAAACCTGGCAACCCTATTACCCAAAATGCAACTCAACAGTTGAGTTAGAGCTCCAGATGTGTGATGTTAATTGCAGCTAATGTGGGAGACATTCATCAGGCTTCACACAGCTCCCTCTGCATTTGAGTACTACACACCTGTGTGAAATACAAGTGCCCCTTTAACCAAGTTGTTTTATTTGTCTATTGCTGAGCACACAGGGGTGACAGAATATGTGCTCATATGAATCACTTTTGTAATATTCCTATGAATAAAATCCACCAGAAATCTATTATTCACTCACTGTTGAGCGTGTGTGTGTGTGTGTGTGTGTGTGTGTGTGTGCATGTGTGTATATGTCTAGTCCCTACAAAGCTCCAGGTTCTCCTGCTGGTTTTTGCAGATGTTTCAATGCTTCATTAGTGTTATTGGTGTCGATGTAAGAACAACTTCAAACAAACGACACAAAGGAACTCACTTTCTTCCCGATTCTCTCTCTCTCTTTCTCTCTCTTCCCATCAGTCCCTCACCACCAAATTGGCCCACCTTCTCCTAAACTTGCTCTTGCTCACGATTTGATCATTTCTTTTTCAGATTTTTCAGTGCCAACCTACACTCCTCTGTCAATTTCACCCCCCCCATATCCTGCCTCCACCTTCCTCCTCTCCGTTTGTCTCTGTCTTACTCATTGTCAATTCTTTTATCTTTTCACATCACTCTCCTCTCTCCTCCTACTTTCCCCAGTCTCTCTGATGTGTTGTTGGGCAGGCAGAAGCTCTGTGTGAGGGTAATGAAAAACACTGAAGGCCAGAGACGAGTCTGGCACCTTTGCACACACGCATGCACGCACACAACCAAGAAGTGCCCCTGAGGCCAGAGGGGCACATGAAAGAGTTAAGTGAGATGCCAGGGCTACAGAGGAGAGCCATGGGTCTCAGATCAGAGCACCTGTCAGTGTGTGTGCATGTGTGCGTATATGTGTCAAGGAGAAGAGTGTTGGGTGTATGTGAATATACATGGAACACTGAAATCCAAACTAAGGCTGTAGCGCTTAAATCACACACTGTGAAGCCAGCATCAGTTGTGGCGCAGAAGCACATCTCCACACGAACATGGTGATTAACATCAGAGAGGTCAAGTACATTCACTTCACTGCTGGTTTGAATACTGCAACTGTTTCTGTACGGAGCTAGCTTCAGTGGACATGCAGTGGCTGCGTTAGGGAAAAAAGTCCTGGTTCTGTGTGAACAGTTCTAATACATGAAGGCCAACAAATTCAGACTAGTTATAGAATGAATGATTTATGTTTATTTGTGCAGAATGTCTATTCATAATCTATCACCCCACCACCACAACACCAGATAGAGAAAAATACTTACAAGATACTTGTACGCATTCAAAAATGAATTCTCTCTTCTCTCTCACTCTTAACAGATACAAGCTGCTACAGCAAAAATAAACCCGACACGTGACACGACCGCAGTGAGACCCAGCAGCCACCAACTGGCGGACATCAGCACCCTGGCTGGAATGACAGTGGATTGCCTCCGGCAGTGAGGACAGAGCTGGAACTAGATGTAGCCACGTCTAGTAACCATTAGCAGCTTGTCTACACACTTCAAGTATAGCAAGACTATAAAACATAAATCAGCCACACATAATTCTAGTTCAGAGGTACGACACAGATGCAACATAGAGGACGAATATGTGGTTTACTGCCAGATGTGATCTGAGAATCAATGAGAAATAACTCTGATAGTGAAATCCAGTGAAATCCATGCTACCTGTTTCCAAATTATCAATTTCTTCTCAGTGTTCATCAACTTGACAGTTCTCTGGCAGTAAAGAAGTGTGCATTTGGAGAGGGAATAAAAGAGGACAGCAGGTAAATGATATTCAAATGTGTCATCTCTTCAGAGAGAAAGCTCAGCGCTCCCTCAGGAACTGTCTGATGAATATTAATAAGTGGTAACAACAGTAGCGGTATGCCAGGCCTGTCAGGTCTGGAGACAGGTTTGTAGTTTGAGGGCAGAGAGCGTCGCTTTTCCACTTCTCACAGCTTTGTCAACTTGTTTTCCCTCTGCGCTACACGGGAGCTTTGTCGCTGGGCTCAGGATTCCTCTTTGCTTTGATATCTTTTCCCAGTTTGCCTTTGGTGTGCACTTCACAGGCACCATGGCAGCACTCATTAACACTCACTGACAATTGTTTTCCTCTTCTTTTATACCACTGCACTACCTGCCACTCCTAATTGTCCCATGAGGGACATGGCAACCACAAGGACAGAGAAATGGCCTTAATTCATGTTAAATTAGCAATTGTGCTCGTATCTGATGAAGTAACATATCAATGGAGATCTTACAGAGTATTTGTTAAGTGGAAACAAGTGCAACTTAAAGGGATAGCTCACCGAAAATGTTTTTAAAAAGTTTTTACACTGATATCGTCCTACGAGGTACGTTCACAGATCCACCATCGTGGTGCTAAGTACGCTAGCTTAGCCACTTCCAGTGAACTTTTAGAGTTGAAAATGTGAATGTCAGGGCTTGAAGACACTGGGATGAAACCACACAAGCAGTATTGAGGCATGTTATGTTATTTCTGTTGTTTTATTATGTCTGAAGTGTAGGTCAATTGTATCGGTTTTGGCTGCAAAAAAGTTTACCCCTTAAACTCCAGAAGTGTTTTGTGGACTCAAACACTTCACC